GAGGAATCGAAGCGGACCAAGGGCATCGAGGGCCTCGAGGGCCTCGAGGGCCTCGAGGGGTCGAGGGGTCGAGGGCCTCGAGGGGTCGAGGCGGACCGAGGGCATCAAGGGCCTCGAGGCATCGAGGATCGAGGGCCTCGAGGAATCGAGGCGGACCGAGGGCCTCGACGGATCGAGGGCCGAGGAACGACGGCTTCGAGGGATCGAAGCGAACAGAGGATCGAGGATCGAGGATCGAGGATCGAGGATCGAGGATCGAGGATCGGGGAGGGGGGGCAGGATTGTCCTCCTCGCCGGAGGATCGGGCATCGAGGATCGAGGATCGAGGGCCTCAGAGGCTCGAGGTCTCGAGGACCCCGAGGGCCCTGGGCGTCCCCCCCACCTCCCCCGTTGGTCCCTGGCCCTCGATCCTCGGTCCTCGATCCCCGAAGCTCGGCCTAACTCTCCGACGATCTGTGCTCTTCAGTCCAGGTGCTTTTCCTCCATCTCGGCCTCGGGGGCCTCCAGGAATGGAGGAGAAGGAGGAGGAGGAGGAGGAGGAGGAATGGAGGAGGAGGAGGAGGAGGAGGAGGAGGAGGAGGAGGAGGAATGGAGGAGGAATGGAGGCCCGAGGTCGCGCGGCCTCGGGGGCGCGCGACCTCGGGCCCCGGGGCCACCAAACAGGGATCCTTGACGCCAAAACTACACTCTGGCAAGCGGGATGGGACCTCTGTGGCCGCGGATTGAGACAAAAAAATACCGGCTGATGTCCAGGGTCGGTCCTCGGTCCTCGATCCTCGGCCCTCGATCCTCGGTCCGCGATCCTCGGCCCTCGATCCTTGGTCCTCGGTCCTCGATCCTCGGCCCTCGATCCTCGATCCTCGGCCCTCGATCCTCGATCCTCGGCCCTCGATCCTCGATCCTCGGCTTCGGCACTCGATCCTCGGCCCTCGATGCTCGGTCCTCGGTCCTCGATGGAGGAGGCGAGGAGGACCACTCCCTCCCCATCCCCTGCAGGCCGTTGCCCTCCCCCCTTCTCACCCCCATCTCCTGCCAGGCTTTGCCCTCGACCCTACTCCTCCTTCTCCTCCTCCTCCTCCTCGTCCTCGTCCTCATCATCATCATCACCACCACCACCATCACCACCACAACCACCACCACCACCACCATCATCATCATCATCATCATCAGCAGCAGCATCATCGTCGTCAACGACATCGGCAGCAGCAGCAGCAACAACATCAGCATCATTATCGTCGTCATCGTCACCATCATCACAATCATCAGCAACAGCAGCAGCAGTACCAGCAGCATCATCATAATCATCATCACCACCATCGCCATCATCAACAACAGCAACAAGACCACGACCAAGTCGTCATCGTCATCATCATCGTCAACATAGTCGCCAGCATCCACAGCATCATCATCATCATCGTCATCGTCATCATCATCAGCAGCATCATCATCATGATACTCTTCCTTATCATCATCGTCCTCATCCCCTGCATCATCATAATCATCATCCGCATCACCAACAACAGCAACAACAAGACAACGACCAAATCAGCATCGTCGTCAGATTCGTCATCATACTCATCAGCATCAACAAAATTATCATACTCATCCTTATCATCCTCCTCATCATCACCATCATCATCAGCAACATCATCATAGTCATCGTCATCATCATCATCGTCGTCACCATCATCACCTACCCAGCACTCGACCTCCTCATCAGCGTCACCATCATCATCATCGCTTCATATCATTACGGATGTGGGTGTGGGTACGTCAGCGAGAGCTGCCTTCCCCTCCCTGGCGGCATGCCGTCAGAGAGGGCAAGCAAATAAACCGTACGATGCGATTCGGAAGCACCAAGAAGGAAAAAAATAGAAAAAGAGAGAACGAGAAAGAGAGAGAGAGGATACAAAGAGAAGGAGAGAGAGGAAGGAAAGAGAGAGAGAGAGAGAGAGAGCAAGAGAGAGAGAGAAGAGAGCGCGAGAGCGAGCGAGCGACAGACGGAAAGAGTGTGAGAGAGATAGAGAGAAAGACACACATACAAGGAGGGAGAGGGGGCGGAAGAACCCCACGATAATAGAGAGGACGAGGAGGGCGGGGCTGGTGGTGGCGCAAGGAGGGAGGAGGGGAGGGGAAGGAGGGAGGGAGGGAGGGGAGGCGAGGGGAGTGGAGGTCAGGGAGGGGAGGGGGGAATATTTGCGTGGAGGGGGGGAGGGAGGGAGGGGGCCCAACGAGGCGGACTGCCCTCGATGGGGCCCAGGCGCGGCGCCGGGCGCCTGGGCCGGGCGGGCGCGCCCCCGTCGGCGGGTGGCCCGAGCGCGGGCCCCGGCGCGCCGAGAGGCGGGGGGAGGCCGAAGGGCCCTCGCCGTCGGGGCGGACCCCTCCCCCGAGCGCCGCGGCGAACGTCTCGTCGGGCCGCCGCGGCGAAGCGAACGTCTCGTGCAGGGCGAACGTCTCGTGCAGGGCGAACGTCTCGTGGGCCCTCCCCCGAGTGCAGGGCGCTCCGAGGCGGAGGCGGGGCGCGCGCCGCGGCCGTGCCTGGGCACGGCGCAGGCAGCGCAGCGGAGCCGCCCTGCAGGGGCGAGCGCGCCTGCCCAGCTGCGGCGCGTCAGGGGGCGCGCACGCGCAGGGGGGGGGGGCGCATCGGCATCCTCATCTCCTCCTCCTCCTCCTTCTCCTCCTCCTCCTCCTCCTCCCTCTCCTCCTACTACTCCTCCTCCTCCCTCCCCTCCTCCTCCTCACCTCCTCCTCCACTCCTCCTCCTCTCCTCCTACTCTCTCCTCCTCCTCCTCCTCCTCCTCCTCCTCCTCCTCCTCCTCCTACCCCTCATCCTCCTCCTCCTCCTCCTCCTCCGCCTCCTCCTCCCTCCTCCTCCTCCTCCTCCTCCTCCTCCTCCCTCCTCCTCCTCCTCCTCCTCCTCCTCCTCCTCCTCCTCCTCCTCCTCCCCTTCTCCCTCTCAGCTCAGGGGCGGGGAGGGGAGGGCCCGAGAGGGGGGGAGGCGGAGCGGCGCCCGCGGCAGGGTGGAGGTGGGGGCGGAGCGGCAGCCTGCGGGGGGCGCGCGGGCGCGGAGAGGGACTCGGACTCGGTCGGGCGCGTCCCCGCACACAGGCGGGCTTGGGGCGAGAGATAAAAGATGCCCCAGGAGTGGCCAAAAAATATTCGAAGGATGCTCCAGAAGTCGTCCGCAGCATTTTTTTTAGTACTGTTGGATGTTTCCCCTGTGGAGGGACAGGCCCGACTGAAGACTCGGGGGAGGAAGGAGGAGGGAGGGAGGAGGGAGGAGGGAGGAGGGAGGGTGGAAGGAGGGAGAAGGGAGGGAGGGAGGAGGGAGGGAAGGAGGGAGGAGGGAGGAGGGAGGAGGGTGGAAGGAGGGAGAAGGGAGGGAGAGGAGAGGAGGGAGGAGGGAGGAGGGAGGAAGGAGGAGGAGGGAGGAGGAGGAGGGAGGAGGGAGGAGAGGAGGAGGGAGAGGAGGGAGGAGGGAACGAGGGAGGAGGGAGGCAGGGTGAGCAGGGAAGGCAGGGTGGTGAGCAGGGCGAGCAGGGGCGGCGCGAGGCGCGAGGCGGGCGGGAGCAGGGGGCGGGGCTGCGCCCGTGGGCCTGCCGGCGGGGCGAGGCGGCGCGAGCCCCACGCCCGCCCACCCCCTGAGGGAGGCACGGAGGGAGGGCGGGAGAAGGGAGGGAGGAGGCGGGAGGGGGGAAGGGGAGGGAGGGAGGGAGGAGGGGAAAGGGGAGGGAGGGGGGGAGGAGGGAAGGAGGGAGGGATGGGAGGAGGGGGGGCAAGAAGGGAGGGAGGGAGGAGGGTAGGAGGGAGGGGAGGGAGGGAGGGAGGGGGGAGGGAGGGAAGACGGGAGGAGGCGAGGGAGGGAGGGAAAAAGGCCCCCCGCCTGCCCCCCTCCCCTTCGCCCTGGAGGGGAAAGGGACGGCGGGGCGCGTCGGGCACGACCTGGCCCCGCCCATCCCTCGCCGGCCTCGCCGAGGTTGAGGCTGCTCCGCAGCCCCCTGACGCTGAAGCACAGCTCTGTCTGAGCGCCGCGGCCCCCCTTGCACTCGACCTCGGTCTGGGAGGGCGGGCGAGGAGGGAGGGAGGGAGGGAGGGCCACGGCCCCTGGCAATCAAGCTACACAACGGCGCACGTGGCCATGCTCTCATCCCTGTCCTGGCTGCGTCGCCGAGGACCCCCAGGAATGCCAAGAAGTGCACGATTCTGCACGGATCCCCCCAGGGCCGTAGGCGAGCCGAAGAGGAGGAGGAGGAGAAAGAGGAAAAGGAGGAGGAGCAGGAGGAGGAGGGAAGAGGAGGAGGAGGAGGAGGAAGGAGGAGGAGGAAGGAGAAGGAAGGAGGAGGAGGAGGAGGAGGAGGAGGAGGAGCAGAAGGAGGAGGAGGAGGAGGGAGGAGGAGGGAGAAGGAGGAGGAGGAGGAAGGAGGAGGAGGAAGGAGGAGGAGGAGGAGGAAGGATGAGGAGGAGGAGGAAGGATGAGGAGGAGGAGGAGGAGGAAGGAGGAGGAGGAGGAGGAGGAAGGAGGAGGGAGAGGAGGAGGAGGAGGGGTCGCCTAAGCCCTTCGGAGAAACCCTCCACACGATTCGCTGGCCGACCTCCTGCTCCTCGACCTCGTCACTCTGCTGCAGTGCGGGCGCTGTGCTGGGGCAGCGTGTTCGTGCCCGCCCCCTGCCAGCGACAAAGAGGGCTGACACGGCGCAGCCGATGCGGCACGCGGCAGCCACCTGGAGCTCGGGCAGAAGTTTTGGTCTGCGGGTCGAGAGCGAACCTCTTCCGGTTAAAAGCTAGGCGGGCTACGCAAAGCTCTAATTGGGGAGACAGAGCACAGGCGGGCGGGGCCTCAGGCGGCCGGAGGGCGGGCTGGGGTGCAGGCGGTGCCGAGGAGCTTGCACGGGAAAAGGAACGAACGCCTTGGACGGGAGCCGGAGGCGAAGGCCCGGAGCTCGGGCAGAAGCGGGAGCGTGGGAAAAAGCGGGGGTGGAGGCGAGAGAAGGGCCCCACGGGCCGCATCGCCCCGTCGGCTTGCTGCTGGCTGTTGCGGCGGGCGTCCACGGAGACCCGACGCTCCCAAAAAACTGGCAGCTCTCGACCTCCAGGGGACCTCGCCGTGCTCTGGGACCGTCCAAAAAAAACGGCTCGGGACGAAAAACGGGTCCTGGGAGAATGGTCCAGACCTCCGGGGCCCACGCATCGAAAAAGATGGATCGGCCAGATGTCTGGGACCCCCTCGGCTCGCTGCTGGCAGCTGCGGCTGGCGCCTCCCACATCCTGCACCACCTCGTTGCCCCTCGCGCGCGCTGCCCGACCGCGAGCGCGACGGGGCGGGCGGACGTCGGCCCGGCGATACTGACGCTACGAGCTCTCGCTCCGCGACCTGCCTGCAGAAAGGGCCCTACGGCTGTCAGAAGACGTGGGCCTGGTGCCGCTCGAAGTGCGCAAAATCTTTCCTCAGCCATTCCCCATCACGCATCAGATGATCCAGCATCCCGGATCTGTCGACAATGCTCTCCGAAATGGCTCTGCCCAGCGGCGACATCTGCTCATATAATGACTTGGGGAGCACCGGCTGGCATGGGTCCAAGATTTGACCAGTTCCGCAAGTAAGCTGGCCCCACTGCAGGCTGACATACTCCGCGTTCGGCATGTAGCGATCCTTGCCAGAGCCGCTTGGAGTGCCACCGTGCCAAGCTCGCAAGTCGCGGATGATAACGCTTCCAGCAGGCAACGGGCAAATGACAGAAGCCTTCAGATCTTCCGCCTCTGTCATCAAAGAAGGCGGATTATCTGGATTGCTATGTGATCCAACGACAATGCGCAATGGTGCATCGGCGCATGTCAGGTCGTCCACTACAAAATTCGCACCGACGGCAGGTGGAACGCCCAAATCGTAGATGGGGCCTCCTCCAACATCCAAGTGTAATGATTGATACGTGCTCGTGCTGCCGAGGACAAAATCGCCACCACCGCCCACCGCTAAATAGCCCTGAGGAAACACATGAGGCAGAACCGCGTTCACGGCGGCATTGTCCACAAGCCCTGCCCACTCCTGGACGTGCACCATGTGCAGAGTCTGCGAGGCTCCACCATAGCTGTATCTCCTCGGCCCCCGGTTGCCGATGCGGTCACGATCGTGGGAGAGCATGAGATCTGAAACCCCCTTTACCGACTGGCGAAGCCTGCGCACGCTGCCTGGATCGAGGGCGTCAAGCACGACCACGAAGCCCAGCGTTCTCACCAGCTCTGCAGCCTCTACGTGCCACTGGTTGGTTCCCGCAGACGCCAGCACGGCGTAACCTGCTGCGGCCGCGGCGCTGAGAGAGCCTGCCGCCGTTCGCCACGGAACGAGCGTGCCCTGCACGCGAACATCCAGTCCTGGCCTCGCTGCCGCGTCGGCACGAGGCATTCCCTCTCCAAACTGAGTGCAGATGCGCTCTCCGCTGACGACAAACGGGTGTGCTTGCACAGGGTTTTTGACTGCCCCGTCCCCTTTCAGATAGCATTGCCCACGCAAGCCATCGGGCAGCTGGGGCGCGTCGACCAAGTAGGTCCAATAAACACATGCCTCGTGGGATTGACAAAGATGGCGACACTGAACTCCAGAGATCGCGGTATGGACGACAAGATCATATCCTGGAGAGTCCTCACCCCATCTGTAGCAGTCCAATCTCGGCCCAGTCGAACAACAATAATTGAACGTCCACAGTGCATGGACAAAGCAGCCTGGCCTGGTAGACGCCTCAACGCTCTGCTCGGCACAGCATGACACTGGCGGACATAGCGGATCGGTTGCGACAAGCTGCACGTGCACAGACGATGCAACAGACAGTGTTGTGGGTCCCGCTAGAAGCCACCGCACGCGATGGAAGTTCATCGTACGGAGACATCTTCGATGGCGACTCCCCTAAGAATGCGGCAAAGACACAAAGCAAGATGGCTTGGGACAAGAATGGCTCCGGCGACGACGACGACGACGACGCGCAGCTACGAATCGAATCCAGCCGTGGCGACGAGGCCCCCCACGAGGCGACAGAATAAACGTGTGGCCAGCGTGGACCCCAAGCAGTGATCGTGCACTCTCGATGTGTAGCCTGTGTGGTGCAGGCTGCGTGCTGCAGTCCACGCGGCGCAGCCTGTGTGGTGCAAGCTAAGCGGCACAATCTACGAGGTGCAACTTCTTTGGTGAGGTCCATATGCTACAAGCTATGCGCTGCAATATACGATGTGCAAGCTATGTGATGTAATTCATACCTTGCAGTCTGCGTGGTGCATGCTAGGTGGTGATATCTACGACGTGCGTCTAATCATGAAGAACTCGAAATCGTCAACTCCACTGCTTGCAAACATTCCAACCGCCCACCCACAGCTTGTCGGCAAAGCTCAGACCCACCGCGCAGACATCTCCGTCCTGCAAGTCGCGAAATGGTGATGGCGATGGTGACGACCGCGACGCAAACGACGATGGAGATGACAATGGTGATGACATCGATGCCGAAGGCGACGACAGTGGAGACGGGGACCATACAGTGTCGACGACGGCGGTGATGGTGATGAAGCTGATGATGATGATGATGATGATGATGATACCGACGGTGGCAACGATGACACAAGCGATGATGATGATGATGATGATGATGATGATGATGATGATGATGATGATGATGATGATGACGATGGTGCTTCTGATAATGAGGAAGTACCCACGCGCAGGAAATTGACAAGGGCGGCGACATCGGCGAAAACGACGACGCCAGAGGCGGCGATGATCTCGACGAAGAAGATGATGATGGTTGACATGTTGTTATTGGACATGTTAGTATGTGCACTTATCTTGTTGGACTTCTCTGCGCTGAAATGACTGGACAACAAGAACGGTTTTGAGAGGACTTCGACGTGCGCGCGCGGAGACAGGCGCGCGTGGCCCGCAGGGAAGTGCTTGACAGAGTGGGTGGGCGCGCGATGGTAGCTGCGCGTTTTCGACGTGCGCGCTGGGGGGGGGCAACGCACACATAGTATCAATCTGTTGGGGTCACACAGATGCGTGATCTGATTTGGCGAATTCCAGACACCCTGACCCAAAAAACGGTTTCATCTCTTGGGGGCGCGCTTTTCTCTTCCGCCACCTTCCGCCGCCCTTCCGCGGGCTTCCGGCGGCGGAGGCGGCCTCGTTTTACTTCCGCCGACCTTCCGCCGCCCTTCCGCCACCTTCCGCGGCGGGAGAGATGACAACTCCTTCGACCCTCGAAGGCAAGGCCATACCTGAAACGCCTCATGCGACAAGGTGGCAAAAAAAGATTGTCTCCTAAGATGTCAGGGAGTGCGCCAGCGCAGAATTCGGACACTCTCGGATGAAAAACAAAATGTTGTTTCCTAACTTAGTTTTGGGATCGCATGTCTTTTAAACGGGTTCAACCAAGAAAACTGTGTTCAGAGATTTTGACGTGCGCGCACGGCGGCTTGCGCATGTGCCCCACAATGCATTTGTTGCAAAGGAGTCTTAGCAAAAACACTTCTTAGATCAATAATGTGCACCGCATACTTGTTTTTGCAAGAGATCGTGTGGGGGGCGATACCAGCCTGGCTGGGATGGTACAGAATCGTGTGCAAAATGAACGATGAGGCAGAATCAGATTTAAATTGTACTGTCCCAGGGGGAGCCCTGAAGTCTGGGCTCGGGATGGTGGTAGCGTCTACTCTTCTTCAGAGAGGAGAATATAGGCAATACAACCTATGGGGTGCACCACGCGTCACCACCTCAAATGTTCGTCGTCAAATCCAATGCTCGAGCAAATTTCCCACCCACCCAGCCGAAACTTGCTGGCATAACCCCAGCTGGCGTAATGATACGAAAGCCCTTCATATTCAGATCCATGACTCGGGCGGGCGAATGATGATGGTGACGATGGTGGCCCTGATGACGAGATCGATGACAACGATGCCGATGATGATGATGATGATGATGATGATGATGATGATGATGATGATGATGATGATGATGATGATGATGATGATGATGATGATGTTGATGACGGCGGTAGGGATGATGACGACCATGATGGTGATGGTGATAGTGATGAAGATGATGGTGATGAGGACGACGCTGGCGTTGATGAACACGCGGGTGATGAGGACGATATGCTCGGGCATAAACTCACACTTCCCGGCCGATGTGTATTGGACGCCCATTGGAAGTTCACACGTGCTGAAGACCTCTGTTAAAATGGTGGGGAGTATGATGGTCTGGGATAGACTGCGTCGTGCGCGCGGAGGGATTCGCGCACGTGGCCCGCATGGTACGGTGGGGAACTCTTGCCTAGCGTGCCGCGGCGCCGGCCCCGGCAACACGCCATGCCATGCAGGCGGAGATAGCGGGTCGCTCCATTCCGCGGGGCGGGACGCCGGGAAAGGCTCGGGACGTTGACGCTCAGGGATTGGGACGTGGACAGCGCGTCGCGACGAAGCGCGGTGGGCCAGAGCCAGCGGAAGGACCCGCTGAGCCAAAGTTCCTGGCCGCAGTGTTTGACAGAGTTGGCGGATGCGCAGAAAGACTTATGTTGCTCCCATCGTACTTGAGGACCGCATCCCCAAAATGATTTCGATCCCCCAAGAAAAATGTCGAAACGGCGTCGAACGAGTATCGCCTCCCAGTGCCCGACACGTGAAAACCCCCAAGTTTCGGTATGTTCGTGGTGCTCGAAATTCTTTCCCATGATCAAGACTGAAGTAGGTTGGAACATCATAAAAAAGACTTTTGAATGGTTTCCGCCTGCGCGCGCCTGAGGTCCGCATGGCCTCCTGTGACAGAATGGCGACAGGAAGCTGCGGCTTGGGGGCGCTTACGGCAGCTGCGCACGCTGAATCCTGCACGCAAGGGGTGCGCCGAAACGGGCACGACGCCCGAATGCGAACGCCCCCAATGCGAGTGCCGCACTTGGGACCTTAGATGGAGCCCCACGGGATGACGGAACGTATGGAGGTTGTGCCGGAACGGGCGCGACGCCCACATGCGAATCCCCCCACCAGGGCCGTCGGTGGAGCTCCCTATGAAACCAAAAAAACGCGAGGGTGTGCCGAAACAGGCGTGAAGCCACATGAGAACGTCACCATCGGGGCCTTCGGTAGAGCTCCCTATGGGTTCACGGAGCGTGTGACTGGTGTGCCGAACGGGCGTGGCGCCCACATGCGAATGCTCCCACTGCGGCCTTAGGTGGAGTCCCCCATGGGGCCACGAAACACGTGAGCGGTGTGCCGAGACGGGCGCGACGCCCACATGCGAGCGTCGCCTCTGGGGCCTTCTGTGGAGCTTCGTATGGCGTCACGAAGCGAGTGAGGGGTGTGCCGAGACGGGCCTGACGCCCACATGCGAACGTCGCCACTCGGGCCTTCGGTTGAGCTCGTGCCACGAATCGTGTGAAGGGTGTGCCGAGACAGGCGTGACGCCCACACGCGAACGTCGCCAGTATGGCCTTCGGTGGAGCTCCCTATGGGGCCAAGAAACGCGTGAGCGTGAAAGGAGTGCCGACACGGGCGTGACGCCCACATGCGAACGTCGCCACTGGGGCGTTCGGTGGAGCTCCCCGTGGGGCCACGAACTGTGTGAGGGGAGTGCCGACACGGGCGTGACTCCCACATGCGAACGTCGCCACTCGGGCCTTCGGTTGAGCTCCCCATGGGGTCACGAAGCGCGTGACGGGTGTGCTGAAACGGGCGCGACACCCACGTGCGAACGTCGCCACTGGGGGCTTCGGTGGAGCCCCCTTATGGGGTCACGAAACGCGTGATGGGTGTGCCGAGACGGGCGTGACGCCCACACGCGAACGTCGCCTCTGGGGCCTTAGATGGAGCCCCATTATGGGGCCACGAAGCGAGTGAGGGGTGTGCCGAAACGGGCGTGAAGCACACATGCAAGCGTCGCAACTCGGGCCTTCGGTGGAGCTCCATTATGGGGGCCACGAACCGTGTGAGGGGGGTGCCGAAATAGGGGCGGAACCGCATGCGAACGTCGCCCCTGGGGCCTTAGATGGAGCCCCCATATGGACCACGAAACGCGTGAGGGGTGTGCCGAAACGGGCGTGACGCCCACATGCGAACGTCGCCACTGGGGCCTTCGGTGGAGCTCCCTGTGGGGCCACGAACCGTGTGAGGGGAGTGCCGAAAATGGCGTGACGCCCACGTGCGCAGGTCGCCTCTGTGGCATTCGGTGGAACTCCCTATGAGGTCACGGAACACGTGAGGGATGTGTCGACATTGGCATGCGGATGCCAGAGCCAAAGATGCGAGAAGGGAGGAGGGTAGCGGTTGGGAGACGCGGGGCGCTGTCTTTTCAAGATAGGGTGCCAACACCACAGGATGGCTGGGAACAATAAGAAAATATAAAGATGGAAACAGAAACAAAAGTCTTAAGTCCACGACCCCTGCGAAAGCTATATGAGATTAGCCTGGCGAAGGATCTAACCGCAAGCAGCTACGAGTACCGCAAGACAAATGGAAACTCCGGGAGGGGGCCAGCAAACAGAAGACTTAGCCTGGCGAAGGGCCCAACCATGTGCAATTGTGGAACCCGTCGTTGTGAGTATTGCCGTCTGTGGATATTCTCATGGGGCCACGGAGCGCGTGAAGGGTGTGCCGAAATTTGGCGGGACCGCAATGCGGGCACTGCCACTGGGACCTGCGGTGGAGCTTCCTATGGGGCCACATCACGTGTGAGGGATTCGCGGAAATCGAAATTGGAACCACCTTCGGGCGCTACCCCTGGAGCCTTCGGTGGAGCCCCCTGTGGGCCATGACACGTGTGAGGGGTGTACCGAAATGAGGGTGGAACCGCATGCGGGACCTGCAACTGGGGCCTTCGGTGGATCTCCCCTTGGGGTCGCGAAACGTGCAAGGGGTGCCGAAATGGCAGTGGGACCGCATGCGAACTTTGCCACTGGGGCCTTCGGTGGAGCTCCAGATGGGGCCACGAAACGTGTGAAGAGTGTGCCAAAATGGGGGTGGAACCGCATGCGAACTTTGCCACTGGGG